TGACCCTAAGTACAACAGAACCAAACACTGCCTGGTGCTGCACCATCCTCACAATCCTTGCTATGCTTAAGCCCATCCTTGCCACTGTGTCAATCCATCTCATTGAGGATCTTCCCCTTTTTCTCTGACCCTCTACTTCACCAAGCATGATATCCCTCTCCAGGGCCTGGTCCCTCCTGATAACATGATCAAAGCATGAGAGACAAAGTCTGGCCATTCTCACTTCTAAGGACCATTCCAACTCTACTTCCTCCAAGACAGATCTGTTCTTCTAGCAGTCCATAATACAGTCAATACTCTTCTCCAACACCACAACTCAAATGCATCAGTTCTTCTGTGGTCTTCTTTATAATACCACAGCTTGGGTCAGGTGCACCTTAGTCTTCAAAGTGACATCTTTGCTCATTACCACTTACTTTTAAAGAGGTCTTTTGCAGCAGATTTGCCCAGTGCAATACATCACTTGATTTCCTGACTGTTGCTTCCATGGCATTGATTGTGGATCCAAGTAAAATGAAATCCTTGACATCTCCAATCTTTTCTTCCTCTATCATGGTGTTTTTTATTGGTTAATTTGTGTGTGTGTATGTGTGTGTGTGTATATATATATATGTGTGTGTGTGTGTATATATATATTTATTTTATGTTGAGTTGTGGGAGCTTTGGTAGCCTAGTGCTTAAGGCATTTGACTGCTAACCAGAAGTCTGGCAGTTCAAACCCACTAGCCACTCCTTGGAAGGAAGGTTGGTCAATCTACTTCCATAGTGATACCACCTCAGAAACCCAAGGAGGGGTCGCTATGAGTCGGATTCGACTCAACAGCAGTGAGTTTGGTTTGGTTTTGGTTTTATGTTGAGTTGTAAACTATACTGAAGACTGTAGTCTTTAAGCTTCATCAGTAAATGCCTCAAGTTTTCTTTGTTTCCAGTAAGCAAGATTGTGTCATCTGCATATCACACGTTGTTAATGAGTCTTCCTCCAATCCTGATGCCGTTTTCTTTTTTATATAGTCCAGCTTCTACAATTATTTGCTCAGCATACAGATTGAGTAAGTGTGGTAAAAGAATACATCCCTGATGCACACTCTTCCTGATTTTAAACCATGCAATATCTCCTTGTTCTGTTCAAATGACTGCCTCTTTGTCTGTGGGCAGGTTCCTGATGAGCACAATTAAGTGTTCTGGAATTCCCATTCTTCACAATGTTACTCATAATGTTATGATCCGCACATGCAAATGTCTTTGCATAGGCAATAAAACACAAGTAAACATCTTTCTGGTATTCTTTTATTTGAGCCGAGATCCATCTGACATCAGCAAAGATATCCTTCATTCAATGTCTTCTTCTGAATTTAGCTTGAATGTTACAATCGTAACATTAGAATTAGATTTTATATTATATAGATATAAGATAGGTCATTCCTCAAGTTGGTTAACTGTTTAGGGGAACTTGGCTTCATTTTCTAGTGCTGCTATAATAGAAATATCATACATTGATGTCTTTAAAGAACAGAAATTTATTTTCTCATAATTCAGAAGCTACAAGTTTGAATTGAAGGCACAAATTGTAGGGGAAGGTTCCATCAGCTCTGGGGAAAAATTTTGTCTCTTTCAGCTTGTTCCTCAGTTCCTTGGTGATCTTCATGTGGCATTTATATCTCCTTCTCCCTTCAAACCCCACCACAACCAATTTGTGCTTTTTGTCTCTGTGTCTGTGTTGCTTCTTATAACTCAAAAATGACTAGGTTTAGGAAACCCTCCACTCATATAACCTCAATAACATAATAAAGAAAACACTATTTCCAAACAGGATTACATCCACGGGTATAGGCTTTACCATTCAAATACATATTTTGGGGAACATAAGCCATTACAGAGGGAAGGAAAAATAGGATCTCAGGAAATAGATCTCCTAAGTCTTAAAGAAATAGAAATGCTAGAATCTTTTGTCCTTATAAATATCTTCATTATTTTGGTGATTCTTCCTCAGGGAAGCATTGAATTTCAGGTGAACTTGAGCACCAGGGAGTACTGTCAGTATTCAGAGAGACGTTGTTGTTGTTGTTGTTGTTGTTGTTAGGTGCCATTGAGTCAGCTCTGACTTATAGCGACTTATGTACAACAGAACAAAATACTGCCTGGGCCTGCACCATCCTCATAATACTTGCCATGCTTGAGCCCATCATTGCAGCCACTGTGTCAGTCCATATCATTGAGGGTCTTCCCCTTTTTCACTGATGCTTTACATTACCAAAGGTGATCTCCTTCTCCAGGACTGGTTCCTTCTGACAGCATGACCAAAATAGGTGAGACAAAGTATGGCCAGTCTTGTTTTTAAGGAGCATCCTGTCTGCACTTCTTCCCAGACAGATTTTTTCATTCTTCTGGTAGCCCATGATATTTTCAGTATTTTTTTTTTTTTTTTTTTTGCCAAAACTACAATTCAAAGGCATTGTCCACTTTACACATGCATATGTGACAATTGAAAATACCATAACTTGGGTCAGGTGTACCTTACTCTTCAAAGTGATATCTTTAACACTTTAAAGAGGTCTTCTGCAGCAAATTTGCCTAGTGCAATACAATGTCTTCTGCTTCTTCCATGGATGTTGATTGTGGATCCAAGTAAAATGAAATCTTTCACAACTTCAATCTTTTTTCCATTTATGGTGATGTTGCTTATTGGTCCAGTTGTGAGGATTTTTGTTTTCTTCATGTTGAGGTATAATCCATATTGAAGACTGTCATCTTTGATCTTCATCAGTAAATGCTTCAAGTCTCTTCACTTTCAGCAAGCAAGGTTTTGTCATCCAGAGATACAGCAAGCAAGGTTTTGTCATCCAGAGATACTGAATGGTAAAAGTCTTTACCTTTTAGAATCTGCTATATCTTTGCCATATCTGATTGGGTTATGTTCATTGATTATTTGATGGTTAAAGAGGTAAGTGTCCTAAAAAAGGATAAGAAAGTGAGTTATTTCTTTCTGTTTCAAATATATCATGACTCATCTCTGAGAGATTCACCTGAAAAATCAAGCGCATACAGATGCTGACGTTGGTTTCAATGTATTAACTATTTGTGACACAGTTATAAAAGAGAGAGGTCCCATACTAACTCTTAGTGTTGACATCCATATTATAGTGAATTATTTTTCATTATAGAAAGGACAAGGACAAGTCTTTTTTTTTTCCTCCCCATGCTAACAAAAGTGTGGGAAGAGGGATACTAAGGAATTTGACGGTATTGATCATAAAAAATTATGAGTAACATTGCAAACACTGGGAATGCAGAACTTGTACATAGACCAAGAGGCAGCTTGGTTTAAAATCAAGAAAGATGTGTATCAGGGTTGTTACCTTTCACCATGTTTGTTCATTCTGTATGCTGAGGACATAATCCAGAAAGCTGGACTGTATGAAGAAGAACACAGCATCAGGACTGGAGCAAGACTCATTAACAACTTGCTATATGCAGATGATGCAAACTTGCTTGCTGAAAGTGAAGAGGACTTGAAGAACTTACTGATGAAGATCAAGAGACTACAGCCTTCGGTTTGGATAAAGAAAGCAAAAATGCTCACAATTAGACCAATGAGCAACATCATGATAAATGGAAAAAATGCTGAAATTGTCAGGATTTCATTCTGCTTAGTTTATAGTCACCACCCATGAAAGCAGCAGTTAAGAAGTCAAATGAAGTATTGCATTTGGCAAATCTGCTACAAAGACCTCTTTAAAGTGTTAAAAAGCAGAGATGTCACTTTGAGGATTAAGGTACACCTGACCCAAGCCATGGCATTTTCAATCACCTCATATACATGCAAAATCTGGACAATAAATAAGGAAGACCAAAGATTTTATGTCTTTGGATTATGGTGTTAGCAAAGAACACTGAAAATAACATAGATTGCCAGAGAACAAACAAATTTGTCTTGGAACTATGCAGCCAGAATTCTCCTTAAAAGCAAGGATGGCAAGACTTTATTTCATGTTCTTTGGACATGGTGTCAGGATGGACTGGTATCATGGGTTTTGTTTTGTTTTTCCCATTTAATCCTACCTAATGTAAGTATGGAGCCCTGGTGGCACAGGGGTTAAGCACTGGGCTGCTAACTGAAAGGTTGGTGGTTTGAACCCACAAGATGCTCTGCAGGGAAAAGATGTGGCAGTCTGCTTCCATGAAAATTTAATCTTGGAAACTCTATAGGAAATTCTACTCTTTCCTCTAGGGTCACTATGAGTTGGCATCAACTTAACAGCAATGTTTTTTTTTTTTTTTTTTTTAATGTGAGTATTATTATACCCTATTTTACACATGAGGAAATTGAAGCTTATCTAGCTTGAATAATATGTTCAAGATCACAGAGTTAGTAAATAGCATAGGCAAGTTAAGAAAAGAAGCCAATTTTATTCCAAAGCATGGGCTCATTTTAGTAAACTATATGTTATCTCTCAGAACTGAAAGATTGTCCCTAAGCAGTTTTAATTTCATTTTAAGCAGTGGTTCTCAAACATGGGGCTTTTGCCCTCCAATCTGCCAAACATTTACCTATGTTTAGAGTTGTTTATCACAACTGGTGATGGAGTGGCTACTGTCACCAAGGGAACAGGGGTACTGCTAAAATTCTACAATTTAGGGACAGCCCTAAATAACAAAGAACTATCCAGTCCAAAATGGTGAGTAGTTTCAAGGTTGAGAAACTTTAATTCAAAGAATTGTGGGATTTTAGAGCTACTTAAGGTCTACTGTTCTCAAAATTATGAAGTAGCCCAATCGGGCATACTGTCAGTTCCTATCTCTTCCCTCTCCCACCCATTAACTATATTGAACTGTTTACTCCAATCTTACTCCAATCTAGCTCCTAGTAAGCCAAGCAAAGTTATTAACTGATAAACCCAACCTTGATGTTAAGCAAATTATTCTAAATTCCTGGCCTAAGGCATAAAAAGGTAATTGTTTTGTATATGCTTCACTCATATATACATTTTGTCCCATCACAGATGACAGCAGCCTTCTGAATCTAACTCCCTACCCCCTGGTTAGAAGACGGAAGAGAAGGTTCTTTGGGCTGTGTTGTCTTGTCTCGAGCTAAGCAGTTCCTCCTGGAAACCCACCACTGGGAAGACCAGAAAATTCGCAGCACCTGAGGACCTCCAGACAGCTGAACCACATAGTTTTGGTTTTTGACTATGTTTTCTATGCTCTATTACTTTTATTTGACTCCCCTTGCCCTTTTCAATGATTTTACATATGAAAGCAGCTGTGGTTGAGAAAAAAATAACAGATTCAAAAAGCAGGCTGTTTGTAAAAGGATTTTTAAAGCTAACATTGTGCATGTCTGCTCTGAATCATACCATAACAGATGCAACAATTATGATTTTTAAATTATTTAAAGATTTTTTAAATATATTATACAGAGAAAAACTACTTCATGTATAATAGTATACCTGTAGCTCTTGCTAACCTCATGTTAACAATTTATCATATCTGAAAGAAGTCTTTAACATAAGAATCTATTTAAGATTGTAAAACTGTGCTCAAAATTCCAATCAATATTGTTAGAAATAATATTACAACAAAACACATACCACTTCATCTATTGCTTTTCTCTGCACTCATTCACATTTAGTCTTCCATTCTGTCTTAATCTAAGAGCTTCAACATAAAAATATCTTAATTTATGATGCAACAAAACCATATATAAAAAAATAGTTAAATTTTGTAAATACACAATAGTCCTAATACCTTCACACAATGCATATGGTAACTAATTTCCTTTTGATCCAATGATGTCTTTTTCAGCTTCTTGGAGAATGAAGTAATCCAGTTAGGAAATGGTGTAGTAACATATACAATTACCCTCAAATGTAAAATTGAATATTATCACATTTTGTTCTAATTGAAATCTGAAGCATGGTGTCTGCACATCAGCATAGTGTTAAATCTTATAGGGCATGCTGGAATTAGTTCAGATCGTAAAAATATTTAACATTTTACATTGTTAATAACTTATTTTTAGTTATGCTAAGCTTGTCTCATTTTAGATGACTATGCAGATATGACTTTTCCAATGTGTACTTGGTGTCTTGTCTTATGCTTGGAATCTTGAAAGCAGGACACATTAAGCAATACTATATTTTAGAAACGAGGAAGCCACACACTTTGTTTTTCTGCTCATATCTGTTTTGTGATCTTCCTCCACTAGTAACATGGTACAAATTTCGTTATATTTTCCCTTATTCTTCCCTTGGCCTTTTTCCCAGACAGATTTTCCCATGGGTTGAGAGATTAGGTCTTTGTACTTCTTTTCTTGTTTCCCATGGTCTGGAAAATCTTAAAGTCAGACACGAGGCATCAATGTGTAGTACAATAAAAAGATGACCTAGATGTTTATAAGTGGCTTATCCAAGACACATCTTTAACCCCAACCCTATACTTTCTCAATTCTAACATGCACAGAGCATTTATATACTCTCCAGTATTCTGACCTAAAGCCTATATATTTTAAAGCTTTTAGCTCTAGTGAAGGTGAAGACAGGAACAGATGAACTACTGGAATAATTATTGTATTAGGTTGAAACATATGAAATTGTTGATATTTGACTGTTTTTGACCTACAAAAATGGCACTTTCATATGGTTTCACCTAATTTCTGATACTGTGCAAATTACCCTTGGTATTTCCTCCTGGCTGTTTGGACTAAAAGTGAAAGAACTAAAGAGTTGGAAGAGATCTCAAAAGCTATGCAGGTCTCTATTTAGCTCATGTCAGCTGGTTATTGGCCTTATTTTTGGAATCCAGAGTTCTGTTCTAGTGACTGGTCATTAATACATGGTTACAGGTATGTCCAGCTTTACATAAAAAAGTATCTTTGGAAAGTTATATAACAAAAATCACAATTTTCTGAATTAAATACTTGAAAAACGATGGTGGTACTATGCTATTTAAAGCTGGTGGTGTAGTGCCTAAGGCATTTGACTGCTAACCAGAAGACTGGCAGTTCAGTCCCATCAGCCACTTCTCGGAAGGAAGATTGGGCAATCTACTTCCGTAAAGATACTGCCTCAGAAACCCAAGGAAGGGTGGCCATGAGTCGGATCTGACTCGATGGCAGTGAATTTTTTGAGTTATTCACTTTGTAAAGCAGTAACCACTTCCAGATTTACCTGGTCTGCAAACTCTGATTTTCATATATCAGATTTGATTAAAGCTTAATAGCATAGTGCCTAAGGCACTTGACTGCTAACCAGAAGGCTGGTGGTTCAAACCCACCAGCCACTCCTCGGATGGAAGATGGGGCAATCTACTTCCGTAGTGATACTGCCTTGGAAACCCAAGGGGGGTTTGCTATGAGTTGGGTCTGACTCCACAGCATATAACAACATAACAACAACAATGCCTTCCTGAATCTGGTTGATATAGTTGAGCCCATTTCTTCTTTTAATCCCCTGAGGTTATTTTACTTAAGGTCTACTGTTCTCAAAATTATGAAGTAGCCCAATTGGGCATACTCTCAGTTCTTATCTCATCCCTCTCCCACCCATTAACTATATTGAACTGTTTCCTACAATCTTACTCCAACCTAGCTCCTAGTAATCCATGCAAAGTTATTAACTGATAAACCCAACCGTGGTGTTAAGCAAATTCTTCTAAATTTCTGACCTAAATCACTTCTGCTTTGTTAATTTGTGTTCACACTCACCTTAGTCTCTGTATGAAAATAACACTAACCTTCCTTGCAGTTGTCCTTTGTACAACTGAAGACTGTTAATAAATTCAGGTCTCACCTCCATGTTCAGGAAGGCTGTCATAGCTATTCATGGAGATGAGAATTTGTCTGATTACTGAATCAGACTTTCCATATGTAAGGTAAATAAATTCAGTCACCTATCTTTTATTCATAGTAACTGTTTCTCAGGCTTTGATTAGTTTTTGCAGTTCCTGTGACCACATTCCAACATTCATAGATCTTCTTTCAATTTTAATCCTAAAATTAAATTTAATGCTCAAAGTCCTGATTACCTACACTGACTCATGGTTACAACTGACAAGTCACCATCTGCCTTTATATAGGCCAAAGCATCTCTTTAGGCATTGACCCCACCCTCTTCTTACCTCCCAAAGGACTTTCTCAGATGTGGTTCCGTGAGATAGAGTTCTACTGTCTTTACTTCCTTCTGGTAATTCATCTTCAAATGAATAACTCTGAGGAGTCCCCAGAGGTGCTGAGAGAACACTGACCCCTAAGACTTCAGAAATACCGCTATTTCATTGTGTGAACCAACATTCTTGAAGTAGAAAAGGATGCAAACCTTTTGTGGCACATACTCATTTTAACACCATATTTTAACACTTCTTGATTTTTTTTCCAGATTAAAAATACAATACATATTCTTTGTGGGAAATGAGAAAAATACCACCAATAATAAAGAAAACAAAAATCACCTGAATCCCACCGCAACAACACTGTTTAAAATCACATTTTAAGACTTTAAATCGGTCAGTGACTGAGCCCCAAAGCACTTTTGGATAAAGTTATGTGAAGAAATACATGCCCACAAGGCCAAGATGCCACTTTAAAAAAAAAAAAAAAATCTGTCCACTGCATGTATGAGTCGGGTTTGACTCGACGGCACATAACAACAACAACAACAGCATGTATCTAGGAATACATGGATGGCAAGCTCTGGCGGTGCCATTAGTCAGGGTACAGACAGCTCTAGAAGTAGCATAGCACTGATGCCTCGTTTAATGCACTAAAGCTCTTGGGGAAATTCTAAAATTCTGCTAGACCGTTTTGTTCCCTGATGCTCCAGTGAAAAACAGTTGGGATACTCACTGTATGGCAGTACTGCCACCTACTGAAAGCTGAACTGTGAAGTGAGAGAGGAAAAAATAAACACAGACACATCAGAGGGGAATAAAACATCTAACATATTTCAGACAACAAGTGAATGGACCATATTAACAGTGATCTCACCTGGAATTTCAGATTTTGAAAAGCCCCAAGTTGAAAGGATTAAGGATATCAGCCAGTGTAACTTCCACCCATACACCTATACTTAAGTAATGTCTATCATTTCTTTGTGTTTTAGAATGTTACCAAATGCAAAATGATCAACTTTTCAGGTAACTATACCTAGGCTGAGAAAAGGCAGTGATACACTATTGAGCTCAGAACAGATCATTAGAATTAAAATTCAGAAATAGGCCCAAGATATAATACTTAAAAAATTGAGTACATTATAAAGATGGCGTTTCAAATCTGTGAGAAAAGATTAGATTATTAAGTAAATTTTGTTGAGATAACTGGTTAGCCATTTGAGGGAGAAATATTATTAGATCTATACCTCATAACTTGTGCCCAAGTAAATTCAATATAAAGATTTAAATGCAAAGGCACATAAATAAACATGTAAAATATCTAGCAGGCAGTATGTATGAATATGTATGTGATTTTAGTGTGGGCAAATCTTTCTGAGTGTAACAACACCAAAGGAAGAAACCACAAAGGAAAAGATGGATGAATTTGACCAATTTAAAATGCAAATTTTCTATATAATGAAAAACAACAAGCCAAAGTAAGAGAAAATAATATTTGCAATATATGCACAAAGAGTATAGATCTTTAACATGTATTAATAGCTTAAGTACCATTAAACTTTGGGAACTTTCCATGACCTATCCCCAATGCTCACACCTAGTCAAATGTTCACATTTCTTTCTATTCTCTCCTTGTTGCTCTTTTTTCATTATTTCTTATTTAATTGTTTGTTTTTTTCCCACTAGATTGAAAGTTCAAGAAAGCAGCAACCATGTCTATTTTGCTTACTGTTGTATTCCCAACACCGAACACAGTGATACAAAGCAAATGCTGAAAACATATTTATTGAATGAGTGAATAATGAATGCATGAATAAATGACATGACTCAAAAAGAAGCAAACTTTCCAGTAGAGAATTGAAGCTAGGATACAAACTAGCAATGCACTATAAAATAAAATAATGCACTAATAAAAATATGAAAAATATTTGAATATATTAGTCATCAGAGATGCAAATTAATATGATATACTTTTTTTATGTATCAGAA